AAATCCTAATCGCTATTTCAATCTTTCTATCTTTCTAATTACTTCTCTCTCTGTTTTTCTCTCTGTCTGAAGAAATAAATAAACTAAATAAACTAATATTTGGTTTCGTTTTCTACTGAAGTGACACAAAAAAAGAAATACATAAACACTGCACATCTTTTTGTGTATTATAACCAGTGCTCTCTGGCACTTACAACTTTTTAAACCAATAAACTAGGTGTTAATCTTGTTGAAAACACCCTTGTAGTAATATTAATTAACAAATAAACTTGTTTAAGAGCTGGTAATGTTAAAATGCAAGAACTAAAGCAAAGAAAACAAATGGCAGCTCTCACTGTGAAAAACACATTAATTCTGAACATTTTTTGGCAGCACATCAGTTTTTGGTTCGACAGCTGTCAGGGACAGAAGAGAGGAGGTGACGGGGGCGTTTCTGATGCTTTGTCAGCACTGAACTCAGCAGCATCTGCTTGGTTTAGAGGTGTAAACAGAACGGGACAAACAGACCGTTATTCAGACTTTGTTAAAAAAAATCAGATTGATCTTCCAGCCAGTTATTAAGCTTACCTGACATCTATTCATAGTTTATGTCCTTCATTATGGCATCCAAGTTGTCCTTCAACTCCCTCTCCAGAGTGTAAACCTGACAGAAAAACAAAGAAATGTATCWACACTCAGTGTTGTATAAAGTACATCAAAGTGATACTTGAGGAAAAGTACAAGTATTTTATCATAAAAATACTCTGGTAAACGTTAAAGTCTTCCTTAAAAATATTACTTGAGTAAAAGTTTTAAAGTGTCTGATACGTTTTGTACTTAAGTATCAAAAGTAAATTTCTGACACAAAACCTACTTAAGTATTGAAAGTAAAAGTACTGAGTAAAAGTGAGCTGTTAGATTTTACACAATGACATTTATTGGGAGATGACTTCTCCAAAAAATATATTTTCTAACGGAGTGCAGCTGTGATGGGTTGTGTACAAAATAATATGGTGTCAGAATGATATATATTTATACTTCTCATCCAACCACTGTTAAATTGACTCTATCCAGGAGACACAATTTATCAGGATAGTATTTTTTAAGTAATAACAACTCAGAATTAAATAGGAATAACAACTTTCTACTTCTTCCTTTTTTTTTAAAAAAA